TCTGATCAATCTGTCGACCAGGGTTCAGGAGGGTTGCATAACCTGCTGTGACATCACAGTCTTTAAACATATGACATGTTGTACAGACCAGAGGTTTCACTTGCAACCAACAGTTTCAGTTCCTCTACAAAAACATCTGCTCGTGTTGAGTCCGAGCCATAGCTATTTTATATATAAAAGCAAATTGTCTACCACACTGTAAATTTACTGTAATAGCTGTGCTTGTATGCAAACTCATTGAATACTATTTAAGTAAAGCAAACTTAAGATAATGAGTTGATGTATTTTAGGGGTACTCAAATAACGTGCACAGAAACTAATTAAGGAAAAGCTGCAGATACTACTGTGCCTATTGGAAAGCAAAAGAAGTTTGATTTAAATGAAGTGCAATATAGAGTGAAATACAACTCAAGTTTTTTAACTACACCGCAGCAAGGATAGTAACTCTGCAGATAACCTCATGGTACAAAGTGCATTTCATTCACAACAGCACCTTGAACATTAGAGACACAATGTGAAGAACAGAGGCACTAATGAGTTGCCCATAGTTTACAGTGTAATACATGTTTGTACCATTGCAATACAAATTTAACTTTGATTCCTGGGATTTTATGGAACCTAAAATGTTGAGCTTACTCCACTTTCCCTTGAGTCTTAGTAAAGACTGAGATGGCACAAGCTCTGACCTGATGATATGCTTCAATAGTAATTTTAATAATTGCATTCGGCTGTACCTCAGAGGGTAGAGTGGGCTGTCCACCAGCAAGAAGGTCGGTGGTTTGATCCCTGGCTGCAGTCATATGTGTTTTTGAAATTGCCCCTGATAGCAGTGCGGGCAGTGTATGAATGGTGCGATAGAAAAAGTGCTGCGTATAGAAGTGTATATATATTGCTGGGTGAATGCAAATTGTACTGCAAATAATAAAAGCGCTATATAAACACAGACAATTTACTATTCATTTATTTATATGTTGGGATAAGTCATCACTTCTATGATTAAATAATGATGTAAACATCTTAAAGTTCAAAGTGCAGACCTTGCCTCTCATCTTTGGGTATTTCTCTGTCCACTATGTGAACAATGGGTTAAAATATTATTTATTTAATGTAAGCTCCTTCTTTCTTCCTCTTTTTGCTGTTATTTTAGTTTTTTTAACTTCACGTACACTTCTCTATTATTGTTGGAGGTGCATGTGCAGATTTAAAAATGTCTCTTTGCTCTTACTGGTTAGTTTCTCTGAGAAGCCTCTTCTCTTTTGCAGCATGAGATGATATCCAGCAGAAGACAGGCCACAGCCACTCAGCTGAAAAGACAACATGACAGACAGACAAGAAATTCCATGACCTTTGAACTGTGACGAACTCCTTACTTTCTTACACATAGCAAACACACTCACTCACCAACACCTACATGTGTGCGGCCACGTATGCCTCGTGAACTGTGCACTCACGTGTTATCATCAGAGTAACATTAATACAGCAGCTCTTTCATCATTACTCACACTTCCCTTTGTTGTATTGAGGTCAGTCAGGCTTTGATTGTGCGTTCAGGACATTTCAAAACCACCTCTTTGATCCAGTATCATTCAGTTCGATCACACTTGGAGTAAACCGGCGAGTGTTACACTGAGGATGAAGGTTTTCACAAGGGAGTTTTGTGAAATGAAGCAAACCTTTTGATCCACTGAAAACAACATGATGATTTTTCATTTTACTTCACAACATGACATCTACCTAAATTAAGCTATCTCAGCTGTTGCTGGCAAAACAACAATTTAGTTCTATACCAAGTGTCATTTAATCAGGTTATGAGAATATTTTTATATGAGAAATGAGGCCAACCCACTGCTGTACTGGGTCAGAAGTGCTAAAAATACTGGTGCTGTTACCATAGTTATGTGTCACTGTCAAAGAAAAGTCACCAAGAAGACTGTCCAACACCAGCAGAATCACACACACACACACACACACACACACACACACACACATTTATACTATGGAGACTTGTTTGTCCCCAATTTAGTACAAATGTTCTCTTAGACTCACAGATTAACTGATTACATTTCAGAAGCAGAAGGTAAAGGTCATGGTGACATCATATAACTGTAAACACCTTGAGGGACTGAAACAGCACAAGTTGGGACATACAACCACAGAGCGGTAATTCTTGATTTTCCCGTTTAAAATGATTAAAAACTTATGGAGCTGTTAGAGCTGTGTGGAGTGCATCCATTTGCTCAGCCCCTCCTCTCACATCTGGAGAACCATTCTTATTCAGTGATGTAAAGGTTGTCCATTTGTGTTCAGATCACCCAGGACAATGGTTATATCAGGTGTGTCCATGTCGGGTAGCATGCCAGGTATGAACAGGATGTAGTCGGACCAATGAGTCCCGTACGCTGATGTGTCTTGTTTCACTTAGACAATCGACCACTGTTAACTATACAGCCACTGTTTCAAACTATGAAAAAGTAGAAAGGTTAATTCAAAGCCTGCGTCTCCTCTTATTGTTTAATAAGAAGAGGCTTATTGTTTATTTACCTGCTCCACCCACATAAGCGGTTCTCTGCAGCTCCACCCTTCTCCACACTGTACTATTTGCACTGTCATTATTATTTTTATACTGTTACTGCACTGTCACACTTTAATATGTTTATCTTTTAGCTGGGTTTTTATATAAAGAAATAAACTACTTATTTACTTCTTGATTATGTCTGATTTCTAAAATCTTTCGATCGCTGCTAGAACAAGAAGAGCTGCTAAAAGATGTTGAATGTTGGTGACAATGTTAAACAATGACAATAAAGGATTCTGATTCTGAAGTGAAGCAGGTGCACCAAGTAAGTTAAGAGTGACGCAGCTTTCCAGGCATTTCCACACATCTAGTATTTCCATGGACCCTTTACTCTCCTCAGCTCTGATTGTTCTCCTGCACTGGGAAGCTGATTAGCCTGACCACAAAGCAACAACTTCCACTATAATGCAGAGTGCACGTGACACATACTGGTCATCTGAGGTTGCTACTTAGGAGCGGGTGCATATGTAGGAGCTGTAATGCTTCCTGCTTAGCACCACAGCTTTAATGGAGGGTTTTCTTGTTTGAAGTGTGTAATCTGCGACCAATGCCGGCTGGTGCAGATCAGTCACCGATGTCGCCGCTGCACAGCAACTGGGCCAAAAACTTCAACTAACCTGCTTAATATTGAACTCTGTAACAGTGATGACGCAGAGGAGGAGAGGTGTGCAGACTGTGTATTGATGCTGTCACAAACAAAGGAAATGTCCCAGTTTCCACTGGATGGGTTTTGTTTAAATTACGTAATCCACACACAGAAGAAATAAACAGCAGCAGGTCTTTGTGCGTTTATATACACATTGTGACCTAATGGATGGATGTTAGAGCAGCAAGGCATCAGGCATACACACACTACAAAATATAAAGAATAAAAAAATAAAAAAACATGACTGACATGAGACTCTGTCTACCTTATACAGCATCATCACATTTCTTAATTTGGGTTTAACAGCTCTAAGCAGCTAAATGATCTGCACTGTAAACTATCTCACTGCAGAGAAAAACAAACATCTCCTCTAGGATGTGACAATGTTCCCACCCTTGTTATGCATATAGTGAACTTTATTCTTCCAGTTGAAGCTTGAAAACAGGTTAACCTGAAAAAGGAGACACGGTTCTACTGGACTAGGACATGTTAAATTAGGTTATTAAAACTTGAACCTTGGTTTGTCCTCAAAAGTTTAGACCACTGTTTCTATGGTTTTGAAGAAGTTTAAGGATGTTTCAACACACTATGATTCACTGTGTATTATTAACACAAATAACCCATGGAACATCTTTTTACTTCCGGAGACTATGGAAGTAGTTGATTTTCTGTTTTTATTTTTAAACAGAAGCCCAATCACGTTTTATCACTCAGTTGAAGTTATTTGTTGCTCTTTGTAAGGTAATGATCAATATAACCTTGTCCGTTGTTTCTTTTCCTGTCTTCTATAGGTATTTTGTGTATGTAAAAGGTCAAAGTTGTGCAGGTTAAAAAGGCCAAAATCCAGCAAAGGAAGCTCCTAGAAGCACATGGAATGTCGCCCCATTTCCATCATCAGAATGACATTTGACATCATGGTCTGGCACCCCTCCCCCAACAAAGCTAGCTAAAGCGAGAGTGGAGTTCATCATTCGCAACTAATGGCAGTTGACCAAACACAAAGTGGGCCAGCTGGCCAATCATGGTTTGGTTGTTACCAGCATGTCTCCTTTCAGTATTACCTATAAATTAAATTTAATGAAATTGTTGCATTTTTGTTTTATCACCACTATGCAGATGCATTCCGAGATCTGCTGTTAGCATCTAACACAAACGTTAATGAACACACAAAAGAACATAAGACTTTGTTTTTTAAACACAAATCAATGCCTTTATTAACCAAGACACTATTAACACACTGGTATACAAGAGAGGTATCGACTCTTGCAATAAACAAAATAAATCAAAGTTGGTATCAGAACATTTAGAGTGGTAATATGGAATGTACTTTTTCCACTTTTTTATTTTTAAACAATCCTTTCAAATAAATAGTCTCTGTATAGTCTTTACAGCTAGTGTTTCTAACAATATATTCTCTTTGCTTAGTCAAAGTTTTGGGAATGAGTAGGAAAGAATGAGACAAAAATACAAATAAAAAGACAGTGACAAAACAAGGAAAATATCCCCTTTTCAAAATGTCTGTAGGCAAAAAAGCACAGGGGAGAAGAACTGCTGAAAAAAGGCAAATCCCTTCTTCTAGACCTAAATCATCTTGTTCTTCCACCGAAATGATTCGTAATGCCGAATCCAGGTGCCTGGTGGACACACAACCCATGTTTGTTGAGAGGGTCTCAAGAGACACCAATATAAACACAAAATGTCCTTATCAGAAGCTTAACTCGTCAACTGCTACAAGACCGCTGACCTAGCCAGCCACGGTCAGCTTGTACGTCATCTTCACCGCCAATAATGTGCTGTGCTGTAGAGTACTGGCAGTCCAAACTTCATCTAAAAAGTTATGTAATAACACAGGTAAAGCACCACGTCAGGCTCCTAGGGAACTACACTCGAGCTTCAGTTATCTCTGCCTCGCTCCGTCTCTCTCAGAAGGAACTTAACAATAAAGAATCGTGTCTGTACCAGAGGGGGGAGGAGAGACCTAGAATGCTACAGGAGTCCTGGTGTTTGATGGGAGACCTTCGCCTCGTACAACACTTTTGCTGCCATGTATAGCAGAAGAAAGGAGCAGTCCCAGAATGAGAAAAGTGCAAGAAAGGCACAGGCAGCCCTGTCCTCTGGCAGTTAAGGGAGAGTGCACAACGGCCACACCGGCTCTCCCCACACCCTGAGGTGTCTGATGTTCACCCCGAGCAGAGGAGGGTCAGAACCCCATTTGGGCATAAGGACGATGCGCCTTGAAGAAGCAGGGCTGCAGCTCACTGAGCTTTTTCCCCAGGCTTGAAATTCAGATCATGTTGGCTCCAGTGCAGCTTCAATCAGTACTGTGATCCTCTAGCTGGGAGATGATGGTAATCAGGTTCTGCAGGCCGAAGATGAAACCACTGTCCTGGCCTTCATGCACCACACTGTCTTCGCCATAGTGCCGACAAGTGGTGTGAGCAAAGTCAATCATGCGCACGTCCACCACAGGGCTGCTGGCCTCTCCTGTGCTATGGGAGGAACGACTACTACCACTGTTGCTGCTCCCTGCAGCCACACTGGCACTGCCACCTGCTGAAGAACAAGGGAAATCAAAGGCCCCCTCCTCTTCTTCCTCCTCCTCCTCATCTTCTTCCTCCTCATCTTCATCTGATGGTTCGTCTTCATCACCTTCTTCACCACCACGGTGTCTAGGTCTGGTGGGAGTCCTGGGAGGGTCTCCATCATAGATGATGAGCAAGGAGCTGGAGTAGAAGCGGTATGATTCGCAGGCCTCCAGGGCAGCCTGCATTTCCCGAAGTCTGCGCAGCACGGGGGACAACAGCTCTCGGCGCAAGCGGCGCCCATTGTGGAAGAACTGGTACAGGGCCTCCTTGAAGCCTGCCAGGGTTAGCTTACGACCGTGGTACTTATTCATGAACATCAGCTGGCCTGAGTCTGACTGGTACACCTGCAAGAGTAACACAGACACATAAGCGTTACAGCTCCATATTTAGAGAGAACTCCAGACTAGAGAAGCTGAGCTGCATATCTACCATACCTGCATGCCACAGAGTCGCACTCCAATAGAGGCTGATGTGCTCTGTTGACACTTGCGGATCTGATTGGCTTTCTTCTCTTCTGATGCATCATCCCCATGCTGGCGAGTTCCCATCTTCAAGTCTAAGACACATGGTACTGTGTAGCGCCATGTTAGATTCTCCAAAAGGATAAACTCTTTGAAAGGGGGTCAAGGATTAAACAACAACAAAAGAGACACCAGTCATGCATTTGTAATAAAGCAATCATTGGGTACACCACTGTACACTGAGACACTGGCTAACTGCTGTTCACTAATGAAAGGATACTGTATTGGTTACGGTGCTTTGCATTCTCCTTCATCCTCTGTAAGTGCTGCTGGTGGCATTTGAGGCTCCAGGGGTTGTGTTTGATCTGTGGGACCACATTGCCTTTGTCCAGGCTGAAGTAAAGAACCTCCGCCTGTTGCTGCTGCTGCACCACCACCTCATCACGATTATAACTGTAAAAGGTGAAAAAATATCAGCTTTAGTATTACAGAACTTATTCATGATTCATCGTGTTATCTGTGAATGCATGATGGAGCTAAGGCAAGCATCTTCACCTCATGATCTTGTCTTCTTTACGGCTGTTTCGAGCTCTGTCTTTGCTGTAGTTGTCATTCTCCAGAAGCAAAGTGGACTGCTTCTTCTTGCTCCACTTTAGCATCTTGCTCTTGGGCTCGCAGTCTGCTGAGGGGTCTTTGTTTTCCAGGTCCCCTGATTCGCTGTGGAGGGGGTAGGCGATGAGGCACAGGTTCCCTTCCTCATCTTCCTCGAAACTGACTGAAACTACACCTGAGAGAGGAGAAGAAGGAAGGTGGTCATTAGTACAGTACTCGTTTTCCTCAATAAAATACTGGTACATGTGTTCAAATATTTGTATTTACATATTTAAAACACATTTCCTGAACGATTTGACAGCAGCTGACATGATCATCCGCCCACAAACACACACACAGGATGTGGATGTAATAGGAAGAGATGGAGGAAGAAAGCAGCCATCAGAGCACAAAACCACGTTTGTATGACTCGAGAGTCAGAAAACAAGAGACACAAAATATCACACAAGGCTGAAATGTGTCAAACTGAGAAGGACATTTATTAATCAACTGCCAAACATCCTCCTAAAAACATACAAAAAATTGAATACAGAGTTTAATGATGACATAGTAAAATGTGATACAGTTTCTCTTTACAGAAACATACATGGAGCAGCAGCAGAACAAGCTACAGTGAAGAATCAATTACCATAGTACAGTTGATGAATATGTCATGATTCAGTCCATTACCAACCAAATGAAAAAAAGTTGTGGTGTGGAAGAAAACACATCTGAAGTCCACCTTCATACTCAATATCAGAAACACAGATGAGGTGGAGATGAGGCTAACAGATGCTCCTAGAATCGTCATGATGAATCAAGTAACAGAGTGTTCCTCTAGCTAATGCTAATTTATGACATGTTCCACAAACAGGCACCAGAGTAAAGCCCCCCATGATGACCCTAGTAAAAGTCCCTAAAAGGGCCTGTGAATGGCAGGGTGGGGGAGGTGTTGCTCAGGGAATAAAATGTCACAGCTGAAGCAGCTGATAGAGATCAAACCACAGACAAGAAGACGGGATGTGGTCGACACAGATCAACGGAAAATGTGGCAGAGATAAAAACACAAAACATCCAAACTCATACATGTTCCACTGTGTATCCAGCAACAGAGGTAGTAGTAGTGGTCAGATTTGTAATAAGAACAACCTGACAACAAGAACCAGTGTTTAAGAGAGGGATTGTGGTGTGTTGAATGTAAAATGGCAGACCTGAGGACCCAGCACTGACATTCCTTCCGCTGCAGGCAGAGGCCTCTCTGACGTCATTAGCACTGACATCACCATCCTGCAAGAATCCCCGCCTCTAAAGCATGTCCTGATGAACTGTGGTGTCCGTTCAGGAGCTGCACCGTCATGACATAACATGTGTGGGAACTTGTGAGCCACTCTGACTTTATTAAATAGAGTGGCTCGTAAACGTGAGATGAAGCCAGAGTGCAATTCAGTGAGATTTTCACAGTCCAATAGCAAATTGAATTGACATTGATGTCGTCTAATTCTGCTTTCAGGTCTGTACATTGGAACCAAAAATCCAATCATGATTTACACTTCATGTAGATAAACGGATGTAGCACATCTTAAAGGTCCACTACCTAACTTGTCTTCCATCACTTGATCTACACATACACTTTCAGGAATGGTCCCCATATTTATTGCTTTTAGTGTCACAGTATAAATTTCAACTGAATTACAGGCCTTCAGAAATTCTTAATAACAAATTATCTCTGAAAAAAGTTGATTAAATGACCAAATTCTCTAAAAAGAGCAAGTATGGCCTATTCTCTTATAATGGTGTGATATGCAAGGTTCTAGAGGTCCCCTTCCATTTCCTCCCCATATCCCAATCCCAGATCTTTTAATAGGCATAGCATTAGTGATATACGATGCATGTCCCTCCGTCATATGGCTGCCCACAGACAGTTGCATCAGCATGCACGGGTGTCATTGTATGTGAAACTGTAGACCTGGATGTATCAAGGGTGTCGTGGTATTCAGCTTCAAGTGGAACATCATGTCTGCGAGTGTAGATACAAATTGCATGTTTGCGTCCATGTTTCTGTCCTGCACCTGACACCAGGGACTGGAAGTTTCCTCAACGTGGCTTGTGCCGTTCTGCATACTCCCCCAGTGATGTGGCCCATTTATTTTGAATCCCCGTGGAACTCTATCTCAACCTGAAACCATAGCCTAGTTAAAAGCCAGGCACTTGGAACTGACCTCTGGCTTAATGATCCTGCTGGCAGAGAGTCACACAGGCCGACCCTGGGGACGGGAAGGAGACTGTGGCTGTGATGTTCTGCCAATTCTCACAAGTCACAATGTGGGGCCAGTAAAACAGGGATTAAAGCATCTATTAATAGTTGTTGTGTGCAGCGTATTCGTTGAGCAAATGCAAGAACCAGTCACCACCCAATATTATCTCCTGCACGATCTCAGTTAATGCATTTTTGACAAGAGACAAGAGGGCACCATGCATGTAAATCTGTGAGCACAATGATTAGGAAGAAGAGAGACAGGATTACTGCTGGGTATCAAAACAACATCACGCATGCTCCGCTGTGGCAGATGAAGTGTTGGTTCCTGCAGATTTAGAAGGGGGGGGGGGGGTCCTTACCTTTATACAGTGGGGTGAACTTCCTCATCTCTGCGGGTAGGCTCTTGTAGAACTGATGCTCCCGGGGGATGAGGGGCTTGCAGATAGTTTGCTCCCCGAACCGCAGCACGCAGGAGTGGCCCCCTACCTGGTGCACGAAGGGCTCAAGCATTACCCCTTTCCCGGGATACGGAGTCCCGTCCGCCTGCATGAGGGCTTCCAGAGCGGGACTCATCCTCACTCCGCATCGGACAGCTGAGCTGGGGGGACCCACGTCGCACGGGAGGAGGCGAGAAGCTCGGCCGTTCGTATGGCTCCCTATCCTCGGACGCTTCTTCTGCTGTGCCGCACGGGGGCGCTGCCGGCTGGTCGCCTGCTGAAGGTGAAAAACAAAGGGCTGAACAGGAAGGACGGAGCCAGGGAACAAATCCGTAATTCCCCCGTTTTTCCTCGTCGGAGGACAAATGCAAACAGCCCCTCGCGTGGTGAGATGTGCTCCGTGTGTGTACGTGTGATAGAAGGAGCTATAAAAAGCTGCTTAACACGGCTCCAGACGGCGCGAGGCTCCGCGCTCCTCACGCGGCTCTTACCAAAACTGACGTCCGCCTCCGACCCGCAGCGAGAAAAACAGCGTCCACGGCTCCGCCCCATCCGCGAAACCGGCCAATCAGAGCGCCGCGGCTGTCGCTGGGAGGAACACCGCGGACAGGATGAAGCGGATCCAGCAAACAAAGAGGAAGAGGAGAAACTGGGGGGGGAGGGTAACACAGGAAAAACACCAGACACACAAAAACACAACACAAACCATCGCTCCTTCACTGAACACACAACTCTCATCTGAGGAGCAGGAGGCTGCAGTCTCATGATCTTGCGACATCAGATTTCCTTGGAGGCCGATCATTTAAAACAGACACGAGGGAACTCGATGTTGCATTTCTCTTTAATCGAACATTTTTTGACTTGAGTCAACGTGTGTCAATAATAACGAGGGGATACATCTAGAATTCAAAAATATTCAGAAAGAATGATGGAAATTGAAAGTCAGAATTCAAAACTGTTGCCTGTATCATCAATAAATATTGGTATATTGCGTAAATAACAATGTCTTTGACAAAAAGCACCATCTATAGATGCTTTACAGAGGGTTGCTGATGTGACACAAGACATCAAGGCCTGACTGAGAGTCTATAGCTGTTCACATCATATGGGATTGGGCACATTCCCATGTTTACGGCTTACCACCAGTTTACATCATCAGACAATGCAGTCAGGGCTGATCATGTGAGGGTTGAAAATAGTCTGCACGCAGCCCAAAACAGCACTAACCGTTACATTTGGTTAAATTACCTTGAAGCATGTAATCTGAGATTTGACAAATGCACTGTTGGGGATTGTTTTGTTGCAGTAGAGCAGCTGGACACTGAAATTACATTTCTTACATGTGACAGACACAAAAATGAAAAGAAAAAACCCCTCTTCTATACATTTTGTTGTTTCTTCTCACTAAAATGTTCATATAACACTAAACACAAACCAAGCATTGCGCTGCTTATACAGCTATAATCTTTAAAGTGTATCACATATACATCAAACAACATCCTATTGCCACATAACATGCATTCCATGGGTAGATAACTGAATTCTGGCTGCTGCTCAGATAAATAGAGCTCTGATAGCAGTATTTGAGGCTCTGTTATTGAGGTTCAGTTTAAAGCAAGATAATCTTAAAACGCTGTGAGATAATATGCTAACCGTGATCTAGTCACATTTCCTGTGGTGCCCTAAACCCCTTTCTCACAGTATTATAAAATAAAATGTCAGAAGATGAGCATCTTTTGAGTTGGCTCAGATTTATATCTGCAACAAATCTGGTACAATAACAAGAATTTTAACTACAGGTCAAAATGCAGGTTAATGGGTAAGAGGATAATTTCTTACCCTACAAGCTTCATATGTATTTAAGGACTAAAATGGAAAATTTGTCTTGTGAATGGCATGTGACCTAAAGAGTCTGACTGGTGTGCCAGACCAGACGAATCGGTGGTACTGTAAGACCGGCTCGGGTGACCGAGAGGTTACAGCCTAATCACACACTAATCTCTGATGTTCCAGTTCTGCACTAGGATTAGAAATGGGAGGAAAGGATCCCAGACCTGAGCAGGGAGGGGATTAAATGATCAGCACTGGGACAGGGCATCCACTTTTTTTTTCTTCCACTAGTTAGATAGTTAGAAGACCATGTCATTTTACCGTGTGAAGCATTTAGATGTGTAATTGCAATGGTGAATCTCAAGGATATGTGTGTGATGGAACAACTTCAGGGCTCTGTGCACTGACTCCTGCAGCCAGTCTTCAATGGCTCAATAACTACAGATCACTTTTACAGTTTCAGGAAGAAAGCTGCAACCAGCATCACCACAGGCCAAGCAAACAGCCCATTCCAAACACTCAGGTTTAGAAGCTAGGCAAGACAGTATTTGTTAAAGAAGAGTATGATTAGTCGTTTTTTTAGCTTGGTCACCATGGCCTCACTGATGCATCAGTGTTATGTCAGTTTAACCAGGCTTTCCCGCTCCTGTCATGGGTCCGTGCCCCGGGACAATAGGCTGCTGCTCCCTCAATCCAGCTATGAAACAGAACAGTGATGCAATTTCCAACCTCCTCCGTACACACAGGATACTGGAGGGGCTTCTACAAGCACAGCAGTCATAGTAAACTTCATCCACTAGAGTTGCAACAAAGTCTAAGTAATCCAGGCTCCAGGAACACAGATGGTGGATCTGATCTGGGTCACAGAACTTCTGAAATGTGAGGTGTAACCATCGCAAAGAGATGTCAGTCTGTAGCTTCATCCCACCAACCTGTTTTTGCACCAACGTGTATGACTGAAGAGAATAAGCTTAGCAGTCACTGAAGACTCATCTATTTAGGCCCAGTTTGTCTAATGGATTTGTCTGAATATTACATGGTCTCATTGGAACTGATGACTGTCATCATGACATACATTGTGTGCAAGGTCAGGTCAGTAAAAAAGCTGTGGCCTAGTGATGAATTATAATTGAAATGAAAATTAAAGCAATGGTCGGTAATCCTGGAAAAGTTAGCAAGAGCTTGCTACACAGAGAAAAGGAGCCAGAGCCTTCTGCTATCAAGCTTCTCTCCTGTGGAATCATCTCCCAGTTTCTCTGTCAAATATTTTCTTTTGCATTAATACTTTAAACATTGATACATCTCTCCATTAATATAAGACTCTGTAACTCTGTTACAAGCAGCATCTATTGCACCTCTGCCTGTCCTGGGAGAGCGACCCCTCATATGTGTCTCTCTCTGATTTGTTTCCTTGCTAAAAACATTTATTTTGATAATTTTTCCTCCCTCAAATCGAGGGTTAAAGGCAGAGAATGTTGCACCATGTAAAGCCCAATCTGGCAAATTGTGATTTGAGAATATTGCAGGATTTAAGAAAGTGTTAAAGGTTCAGTGTGTAGAACTTTGCGATGTCTAGTGTTGAAATTGCATGTTACAGCTGAACACCCATCACCTCACCCTTTCCTTCCAAACATGAAAAAGAACCTGTGGTAGCTTCAGTTGTCATAAAAACACAAAAGGTGTTTAGTTTGTCCAGTCTGGACTAATGTAAAATTGGCGGCCTCCGTAGAGATGTCCCCTCAAAGTAATTTAGAGGAAATAAACTAGTGAAAACATCATGAGGATTATTCTACATTAAATTTCTGCCAATAGATCCTTTCACCTAAATCTTACACACTGGACCTTTAAGAAAGTAAAGCAATTGAAAGCACTGACTATGTCCTGATGACACAGAACTGGGGAATCAAAATCTTGTGCTGTGAAGGCAGGGGCACATGTGAGGGATGAATTCATAACTATAATATTCAACAAACTTGACAACCCACTTTTTAGTGCCTTCTTAAGCCCTCCCCCTCATTCCCAGACACGTGAGGAAGTGGAACATGGTTGCATAGAAAAACGTGTGGGGGAAGGGCCCATATGTGCCTTCATTTAGGCAGCGGTCCACTCTAGTAAATATGAGCGTGTTGATAGTGATGAGTGTTGTTGGCACTGCCAAGTCAAGGACACGCTTGTTTACAACTGTCATCCCCAGCTCCTCATATCACTCCTTCTGCCCTTCCATTTGTCTAAGGTGGAAAAATAAAAGCACACACAACAACACAATAACACACACATTGCAGTTAAACTTTTTTTTTTTAACTTACAATAAATATACTTGTAACATGAGAAAATGCCAGTTACTCAGTTTCTCTTCCTTCCTGATTTCTCCTCAAATAAGCCTCAGTATCTTGAATGAAGACAAAACAATGGTAAACGTATTAAGAAAACTGCAC